ATATTTATATTTTAGATGCAAGTAGTTGTATGTGGATGTTTGTGAATTAGTGAACGTGCGCATGTTCATTTTCTGTCCGTTATATAAACGCCTTATCTGGAAACGCGTACATTATATATATGGTGGAATGCATGTCAGGATAGAATGAAAATTCAGTTGGCATACAATATATCTTATATGGTTTTTGTCGTGAATATGTGTAACAAATTCTCAGTCAATATGTGGGACACGAAAGGCCTAGATTTTACTACAAATAGTTTCCGCGTATGAGCAGACCAATATGTATGACCCCTGAATTCCTTCATGCACATGATTATTCGTACATACTGACAGACAAATCATGCTGACTAAAGCTTCTCGCTGCTATATACAAGCACGTATATATACATATATTTCGTATCCGTGACTCCCGGTGCATATGTGGCTAATCTGCACATAGTTGTCAAAATATATTTTCCATTCAAATTTACTCTTGATTTTGAGATTTATTGGGCATTTTCGCGTATTATCGGGCATGCACAGGCGATCGAAAATAACAATGATGACACTTATACGCATACACAGTAGCCTGAGATAAGGTTAAGTTTTTTTCTATTTACGTATACTCACGTTTATGTATAGATATCAGTGTATATTTAATACGTATATGTAAGTGCAGTTTTTGATTGTTGCAAACATAGAAAGTGCAATAAGTATATGTGTCACTCAACATACAGTGTACACAAGTTACCTACTTACGGTCGTAGAAAATAATTACTTGCCTATGTACTATATGTGAGGTGGATGACTACAATTTCAATGAACCATCTAGTGTACGCGCATACTTGTACGCTCTTATATAGATGAACGATACATACCTTAATATTCCAAGTAGAATGGGCCTGCGTGTATGCTCTTTATGCATGATTGTGCATATTCACGAACTAATTCTCGAATGCAAAAGATTAAATTGATATAGGTTGGGATGCATTCATATCCCTGTGAGTTTTATATATTCATTCTCCAACACTGTGACCATGTACTTATTCTCGTCCAACGACACATGGCTACCACAGATTGTATTCCTTTCTACCTGGCCTATCCATAATGTATTCGTCCATTCTGATTTATTCATACCACGCCATGCCACATCACATCATGCCACACTAGACCTCAAGCTGCATCTGGCGAGTACGCACTACGGGTCGTTCCTGTCTGACGAGTCTGGCGCTCTGACTGTGCCAGTGATCCAGGAGAAGCTGCAGGAGAAGTTCTTGCAGATGTTCGAAATCATGCGTGCCCAGGTTGTAGAGCCGGCCAACACTTTCTTCGATTACATAACGTAAGATACTGTTGCAGAGTTATACCGCATGCCTATGTGTATCACTGAACCCGCACTCGTTCTGATTTTGTTGTGTGTTTGGTCTCTTAAGCGGATGCAGTCTATTACACAGGTCTGTGGTATCCCACTCCAGTAGTGCACGAATAATATACGGGGAGCTAATGCATGTAATTGCCTATTTGTCTGTGGCAATCGATTTGTTTTTTGTTTTTGTTTAATTATTAATGATGGCTGTACATGCCTGGTATGGTTGAAAAAAAATTAAGAGTTGCCCATCCCTCCCGCCCTTCCCCTTTTCTTCTCACGGGCTTCTACGTTCTATATCTGAATTCCGTGCATGATTGCCTAGTCAAGCTGTGGCTTGTTGCTCTTCACCACATGGGCGGGGCATTCAGCTTCATCCTTATCTAGCAAAAATACGACCTGGCCTCGATAGAGCGAATTCGATAGCAGTGCCATCTTGTCAGTTTTGACATTAGGCCCTTACCCGCAAGTATTGGTTGCCATCTCGCATTCTTACTCACATCCCTTACCCGCCAGTATTGGATGCCACCTCGCATTTTTTACTCACATACGCTGGGTTCTTATCTGATGCAGCTTCAGCTACATGATCGACAATATCATCCTACTCATCACCGGGACACTACACGACCGTGACATCTCGGAATTGATCCCCAAGTGCCATCCTTTGGGTAAATTCGAAGAAATGGGTTCCCTGTCCATTGCCACCACCCCGGCTGAGCTTTATAACTCAGTGTTGGTGGATACACCTCTGGCCAACTACTTCCAATCGTGCATTGACGAGCAGGATCTGGATGAGATGAACATTGAGATCATCCGAAACAGTCTTTACAAGGTAATGTGCTGCGCCACACGCCTCTATCAATATGTCTAGTGTAGGCTAGAGGTATTAAGTAGTGCTGGACCTACATCAAAGAATGATCATGCAATATCTATGCGCGTGTGCATAGAAGTGGTCCCAGCAAACGAAGGTTCTCGAGTGTATATTCACTGCATCTGGTTCGTAGTCTCGTGTTTATTGCGCTTGGTCCATGCTCTTACGGTGTACCACTGCTGCCACCACAGGTAGCACAATCACCCGGGTTCACAAGTATGTGTTTCGCATGGTATTCTATGTGGCTGGGTGACTGGTACGGTATAACTTGCCTCAGAATATGAATTCTCAAATATCATTAAACATGCTTCGTACATTTGTGTGTCGCACCATGCGAGTACATATCAAATAGGCAGTATTGACTTTTGGCCGAGAGATCAGGTGACCGGCTGTTTGTGTACAAGGCCGCCTGTGGCTTCATTGGCAGAAAGCACATACTAGATATACCCTCCGATGAATACGAATCTCACACAAGCATGGAAAGTGGACCTGTTGAGACCTAACATATTTATACCATTGATGAAATACCTTATGACTCACTTTGGCTGACATTATACATTGCAGGCTTACTTGGAGGATTTCTACAAGTTCTCCACCAGCCTGGGCAACGACACAGCCGAGCTCATGCAGGAGCTGCTCGCCTTCGAAGCCGATCGCCGTGCGTTTGTCATCACTATCAACTCGTTTGACACAGAATTGACTAGAGATGATCGCCAGAAGTTATATCCCAGGTGCGTCGGGGTGCGGAGATATGTGCATGATTGCATAGTATACGTACTGCATACGCATTTGTAAGAAATGTATCTAGGGATATGTGCATGAGTGCATAGTATACGTATTGCATACGTATTTGTAAGAAATGTAACTAGGGCTATTCTCGAGCACACAAACAAGCCCATGCACGTTCCACATGTAGCACACATTTTGATTACGGCTTAGATAAGGTCTCAAACTCGGAACAAATGTTGGAATTGCATAATTGTATTAGGGTGGGCTAAATGAGAAAGCCTCGTTGGAAGGTCTCCATTATTATGTTTGAAATTACATCAATATCACACACAGCTGATGTGCGCTTTCCTGTTTATTCTCGTCCTTGTAGGTGTGGAAGGTTATACCCTGAAGGTCTTCAGAAGCTAGCGGCCTGTGACGACTACGAGCAGGTGCGTGCCGTGGCCGAATACTATCCAGAGTACAGAGAGTTGTTCGATGGTATCACCCCTGGCAGCGGCAAGACCCTGGAGGATATGTTCTACGAGTATGAGGTGCATCTGTGCAAGAAGGCCTTCCTGACGCACTTCAGCTTTGCCTCATACTATTCACTGTGCAAGCTCAGAGAGCAGGAGAGCCGAAACATTGTGTGGATCGCCGAGTGCATCAGTCAGAAGCACAAGGCCAAGATCGACAATTATGTCCCCATCTTCTAAGTTGGGCTCGTGGGCGGCGGTGTTGTTGGCGTACTAAAAGAAAATAGAACTAAAAGACGTTGAAGACAAAAAGCACAAGTTTTTATGCATGGAATATTGGGACAAAGGCGATGCCAGTAAGATATATCGAGGGGTTGACCTCTCCTGTCTATCCACATATCCTCAGTATGCTACAGAAGAAGCCCTTTGCAGCATAGGCGCTAAGTTATTATCCAAAGCACTAGAGATTGCACACACAGACCTAGTCTCCTTCACCCAATTTCTGTTGGCATTGAGGACGCAAATGCCTATAGACCTCGCACAAAGAGTTTTTAACCACAATCCATTGTCTAGGAGCACAAAAGGCACGGAAGCAGCAACATGGACACATGTAAGCGATACTAGCAGTTGACTTCTGCAACGAATATTCATTCTAGGCCCTCAAGAAACCCGTGCAAAGTGTAGCCTCGTTGACTAATCCTGGTACTGTTTCAAAACTGAATCTGATAAGGGTATACCGCACGATTGCACTAGTAAACAGTTCTCTAAATGTGGCTCATGATTTACCAACAATATTATTGTCCAGGCCGAATGGATTCTAGCCACATTAGTGTGGAGGGGTATACGCTTCGTCTGTATATTAACGCTTCGTCTGTTTGAATACTTGGCACGATTGCAATAGTCTGCGCAAATCAAAATGTATTGCACGATTTTAAATCATTCATCCCATGGTAACGATAAGCTTGTAGTATGTGGTCTGCGCAAATCAAAGTGTATTGGCACGATTTTAAATCATTCATTCCATGGTAACGATAAGCTTGCAGTAAGTATTCGGCCGAAATCAAAATGTATTGACACGATTCTAAATCATCCATCCCATGGTAACGATAAGCTTGTGGTAAGTAGTCTGCGCAAATCAAAGTGTATTGGCACGATTTTAAATCATTCATTCCATGGTAACGATAAGTTTGCAGTAAGTAAGTAGTCGGCCGAAATCAAAATATATTGGCACGATTCTAAATCATTCATTCCATGGTAACGATAAGCTTGTAGTACGTAAGTAGTCGGCCGAAATCAAAATGTATTGGCACGATTCTAAATCATTCATTCCATGGCAACGACAAGCTTGTAGTACGTAAGTAGTCGGCCGAAATCAAAATGTATTGGCACGATTCTAAATCATTCATCTCATGGCAACGATAAGCTTGCAGTAAGTAAGTAGTCTGCGCAAATCAAAGTGTATTGGCACGATTTTAAATCGTTCATCCCATGGTACCGATAAGCTTGTAGTAAGTAAGTAGTCGGCCGTTGGTGGCCGTGTCTTGGGTTCCCGAAAATTTAGCGCGAACCACTATAACGCGCATTGCTTCAGAGTGGCTATCAGTCTTGCCACAAGCTCGAATAAGACTATAGCATAATGAGAATCCGAGCTTCGTACACGGAATTCAGACTGATTCCTCTTGTTATTGCGTCCAAGAGAGAAGATGGCTCACGTAATAATAAGCACCACGCTGCACGTCGATACGACAAATATAGTACTGAGGGTGGTTGAAATGAATCTCGCGCCTCAGTGTAAACCGAGTTCGCGCATATGATATAACTGAGGGTTTCTTTTCACTATATGCTGGCCATCACTCTATGGAATTGGAGGAGGTTTGCATTACCGACCTGCGATATACATCCTTAACATGTTCCGGATAGAATCGAATATTACAACATTTATAGATATATGCAGGGCTTTACAGTGCAGAACGTCACATTGTGAATTTTTAGTCATGTTATATTATCGCAACTTCCGATTTTATTCCTGAAGTGTTTCGACACCACATAAACAATACGCTGGCTCAAACCATTGCGTAAAATACTAAAATGCTTTCCATCCGACCCTACCAAACCCCAATCTAACACGTCCAGATACATAGCACCACAAGTCTTTAAACTCAGAAATCGATGAACGTATCAGAGTTGAGTTTGGATGCGTCTGAAAACGATCACCGCATGAAAAAACTTTATTCCAATTTGTCGACTGACTCGCGTGTATCGGCTTCGATAAGCCATCATATGTTCCTCCAGCGATGGGCAGAGGCTACATAGAAACCCATTCATTGAAAATGTCGCGTTTACCTTCTTTCATCTGAAAGCACGGACCACACGGGTCCATAAAAAAAAATGCATGCGTTGCACCAGGTAGTCGAATACAACTGGTCAGCAGAGAATAGGTTCCCAAAATAGTTGGTCTCTACATCAACCAATAATGATGTAAAAGTATACATACGTCAATAATGGTTACTGATGGCATCCGATAGCTTAAGAGTAAGGCGTTTCATTCCGGGCGCTTTGTGATTAGCGACGCTAGTGGTGCTCACTTATACGGATTCACCACTCACTCACAGGCAATATACTGTAGCGTGCAGCTAGGCTCCATAATGGCATATGATGCAACAATGGATTTCAGGGTGCATCTGATGTGAACTACCCACAATTCGAGCATGTGAATATTACAGTAAGCAAAGCAAGAAATCCAATACATACGCATGGTGTCTCAACATGTTCAAGTTCTTGCCCCCAGCATTGGAGAGGTTGGCGCTAGAAGTGCTTTCTATCTTGAGTATAGGATGGCTCAAGTCAGAAGAAGGCCCAAGATGGTCGACTGCCGATGCACATGATAGTTGCGACTGGCTGCGTAATAACAGGTCGACGTGCCACAGTAAAGACACAATGCCATGTGTAAATGACACTAGCTGATGGCCGCAGCGACTTATGTATAAAGAGAGGGCTGAGTAATTTGGCACCAGATATATGGCATGGTTGTAACTGAACAAAAGTGCACACGAACCCCAATGGGACTGCGATCAAGTGTGCTGAATGAAACGCACACTACCAAACGGCCATTAGACTCAGCTCGTGGTGGACAGCCGGGTGTACGCTGTGTTGACGTTGTGGTACTCCTTCACAAACAAAGTGTCGATATTCAACGATAGATACCTGTTGCGAAGATTGAACATGCGTTTGAGGATGACGGAAACTACGTAACCCGATTCGAAACTCAATAGATTCCTGTATTCTTACCACGTGGCAATCATGAGTTGCGCGCTCTAACAAATTAGCCACGCCCGAACGGACAACAACCAACTATATCATATGCACCCACTACAAACAATATCATGTGCAATCGGTATCAGAAAAAGAGTGTGGAACGGTTCTATAGGATTGCCGTACACGATTCTAGCTATATCTGCGACTATTGTGAATACCAGCTATAGTCAAAACTTAAACAATTCTCCACGCAATCATTTCAACAATAATTTCAAGGGACTCTCTTACGTCGCAAGATCCGTGCAGTAATTGACGAGCGGATTCTTCTGCTCCTTCTCCAAGTCATGCTCGTCTATCAGCGCCGGTAGCACAGAGAGCAAGCGCAACAGATGCTCTGCACCATACACACTCCCGAGTGTTTTCCAATTGGTGTCATGTAGGACATCCCGATACTGGCATCGTTCGAAAGGGTACAATAGATACGTCCCAAGTGCCATGTCGAAGAAGGCTATAAGACCAGATTGTAGCTCTGCCAGCTCCGCATCACTATGATAGAAAAAGTGACAGAGAATTAGACCGAACGAGCCGATCCACCGTAGTCGTACAAACTCGGGTGCTGAATACGAACTACTGGGGGTTTTGCTTTGTGACGTGAAGCTATGCACAAGTCCCCAACGCCTGTAGATCTCCTAACAAGGACAGGCGCTCAACATCATAGTGAAGTGTTTTGTGCATCTATCAATGTCCACCGGCATCGGCAGTAAGCGAAAAAGCCGCGCCATTCCCAGAAACGAACAATTGGTCTACAAAATGAGTAGCAATTGGTCTATAATATGGGTGACCACTGGTCTATAATATGGGTGACAATTGGTCTACAATATGGGTAACAATTGGTCTATAATATGGGTGACAATTGGTCTATAATATGCGTTGGATGGGAAGCACACATACCATGGCCCAGAATTCTGCTCAAGCCACTTCTCAAAACCCGCTAAAACATCGAGCAGATTTGGATTGCGCGGAAGTGGCACCAACTGTCCGTGTGGGGATATTTGACGAATTAGACTCGGCTGAGTTCCTCGAGATATACAATTTCAGGCACCGTCGTCTAAGGTTTCACAGATGGATTATGCGAGGTCATCTTACGTGCTCCACATTGTACATCCTAACGCGTCAGCGTTGGTCTCTAACCACAGTGTGATACATGGCTCTAACCACAGTGTGATACATGGCTCTCACCACAGTGTGATACATGGCTCTAACCACAGTGTGATACATGGCTCTAACCACAGTGTGATACATGGTTCTAACTACAGTGTGATACATGGCTCTAACTACAGTGTGATACATGGCTCTAACCACAGTGTGATACATGGATCTAACCACAATGTGATAGACAGCTCTAACCACAGTGTGATACATGGCTCTAACCACAGTGTGATACATGGCTCTAACCACAATGTGATACATGGCTCTAACCACAGTGTGATACATGGCTCTAGCCACAGTGTGATACATGGCTCTAACTACAGTGTGATACATGGATTTGACCACAATGTGATAGACAGCTCTAACCACAGTGTGATACATGGCTCTAACCAAAATGTGATACATGGCCCTAACCACAGTGTGATACATGGCTCTAACAAATGTGATACATGGCTCTAACCACAGTGTGATACATGGCTCTAAATACAGTGTGATACATGGATCTAACCACAATGTGATAGACAGCTCTAACCACAGTGTGATACATGGCCCTAACCACAATGTGATAGACAGCTCTAACCACGGTGTGATATATGGCTCTAACCACAGTGTGATACATGGATCTA